AGTGTCTGAGGCCAGATTTGAACTCAGGAAGATGGGTTTTCCTGACTCCAGATCCAGCACCCACTGTGCCACTTAGCTGCCCTTTTTTTAAACCCTGAAGAAGCATAAAAATGGGGAGGGGTGGGAGAGGTGATGAGGATGATAGGTAATAACCCAGTTAGCTGAACATCAAATGGAATCCTTTGGGGAGAGAGGAATTGTAACTTTGAAAACAAAAAATCCCCCAAAATGCCGTGAGGTAGAGAGGGCTTTACCCTTATTATAGATGAGGAAAAAACCTTAGAGAGGTGAATAAGTCAGCTATGGTCACATAGTGTGGGGGCTGGAATATGAATTTGAGCGTCCTGTCTCTTGTTGAACTGACTACACTACTCCTTGTTAAATTGGAAGAGGTTCTTAACTATTTTGTGTGTGGTGGCCCCGGTGGGCAGTCTGCCCCTTAGGCATAGACACTTTCTCCGAATGATGTTTCTAAGATAAGCAAAATACAAAGACTTGCAAAGTAAATCAATTATGTTGAAAGTTATCAATCGGAAAAAAAAAAGTTCATCAGCCTCAGGCTAAAAAGTTCATAGGGCCTCTAGTGCAGAGTCTTCCCATCCAGAATAACTAGAACTGACCTGAACTCCTCAAGCCTGTCGTGGTTGAGTAGAATAGAGTCTTCTTGTATCCCCAATCCATTTCAGGAGCCCTCCTCACAGGGCCATAAACCTGTGGAATTGGTGTGGACCTGGATTCTCCTTGAGAATGCAGGGAGCTCCATACTGTGGATTTCACTTTGTTCAGCTTTTTACAGGGCTTCCCTCAAATGACTAGCTAGGGGCAAAAAAACACGGACAGAAAAAGGGAAGGTGATTGAAGTAGTGCTGGATAGAATGTGTGTGCATCTGGGCAATCCAGCTGTTCTACCAGGTGTTTGAATCCTGCTTCTCCTTACTGTCTGAATTACCTCTGAAAAGTCAGTTTCTCTTTCTGGCCTTGTGTTCCTTCTCTGCAAAACGAGAGGACAAAGGGTTAGCCTAGATGATATCTGAGAGTCTGCCTGACTCTACATCCTAGGATCCTATAATCCCAAATTGCAGTTGAGGGCGATTCCAGCATTTCAGCTCTGATCTGCAAATATTAGACCTCCCAATTATAAAACCCATTACAAATATGTATCTTAACTTCCCAATTCAGAAGTCCTTGTATTACAATAAAAAGAGCTGATCTTCCCAATTGATAAATGGTCAAAAGATATGAATAGGCAGTTTTCAAAGGAAGAAATAAAAGCTATCACTAGCCATATAAAATGTTTTAAATAACCAATACAGAAATGCAGATTAAAACCACCCTGAAGTACCACCTCGTACTCAGCAGATCAGCTAAGATTACAAAAGAGGAAAATGACAAATGCAGAGCGGATGTGGAAAAATAGGGGCACTAATGAACTGTTGGTAGAGCTGTGAACTGGTCTGACCACTCTGGAGAGCAATTTGGAACTATGCCCCAAAAGCTATTAAATTGTACATACCCTTTGACCCAATGATACTGCTCCTACTTGCATACCACAAAGAGATCAAAGAAAGAGGAAAAGAATTCATATTACACAAAAAAATTTATAGCAGTTCTTTTTGTGGTAACAAATAATTGGAAACTGAAGGAAAACACCTGAATTGGGGAATGGCTAAACAAATTATGTCACATAAATATGATGGAATACTATTGTGCTGTAAGAAGTGATGAAAGAAATGGTTTCAGAAAAACCTGGGAAGACTTACATGAACAGATGCAGAATGAAGTGAGCAGAACCAGGAGAACAATTTATACAATAACAGCAGGATGGTAAAGATAATAAACTCTGAAAAACTTAGTAATTGATTAACAAAATGACTAACCATAATTCCAAAGGACTCATAATGAAACATGCTACTTTGAGAAAGAAAACTAATGGACTCATGAGTGTGGATTAAAGCACATTTTCTTTCATTTCTTTCTTTTTCCTGTTACTTTTTTTCTTAGAATATGGTTAATGTGGAAATTCGTTTTGTATGTCTATACATTTTTATAATGGGTTTTATTTTTCTTGTCTTCTCAATGAGTGGGGAATGGGGAAAGGGAGGGGGACAATTTGAAACTGAAAATAAAACTGAATTTTTTTTAAAAAGGCAGATGATCGTCCACTGGCCAATATGGCATTTTTCCATCCTAAAGCTCAGAGTTGAGGAATGGTTGCCCACACTCCAGAATATCATGTTTGTACTCACTCTACCTTGAGCATTCATGTCATGAGGAAAGCAAAGAATGAGACAGCATGGAATAGTGGGAAGAGTTCTGGATTTGGAGTCAGAGGACAGTAGTGTAAATCCTGGTCATACTATCTATGTGACCTTAGACAAGCCGTTTAACCATTCTGGGACTCAGTTTCCTCATTCTTCATAAAATAAAGGATTGGATTTGATGGCCTCTGAAGTCCTTTCCAGCTCTTAATCTGTAATTCTATGAATGCCACATTTAGGAAACCTCAAGGATTGTCAAGCGTGCCAATGTGGAAAGCCGACCAGCTGACCTCTGACCACATACATCGCAGACCCAGAACAACAAAACCAAACAGAACAGAAAAATAATGTGAATGTGACTCTTCTGTCAGACCAATGAGGTCAAAGTGACAGACACATTTATACTCAATCTTATCCTCTCAAGCTACACCAAGCTAATTTCCATGTCTAGGTCCTGGTGGCTAAGCATAACATCCTTTTAAATATGAGTCACTCAATAAGCACTTATTAAGTGTCTGTGTCAAAGACATCATGAATATGAAGATAAAAATGAAACAGTTGCTGTCCTCAAAGAGTCTATATTCTGATACAACTTTTTTTTAAATTAAATTTTGTTTTTTCAATGGACAAGCATTGATTTTCTCTCTTCTACCTTCATCAAATGAAAAAAAAAAAAAGAAAAATTCCCATATTGGTCATACCCAGAAATGTTTGCCTCATTCTGCAATTACTTAGTCTATCACCTGTCAGGAAGTGACCAGCATTCTTTACTGATCTTCTAGAACAATGGTTGATTCTTGCATTGATAGTTCTGACATTTGACACAACTCTTGACTGAGGGTTGTTTTGGCTTTTTCACTTTGTGAACCTGGGGAAGTTATTTCACTCTCTGGGGTCTGTGTTTCCCTATCTGAAAAATGAGGGGAAAGACTAGATGATCTACAAGGTTTCTTCCAGCTCTAAATGCTATGCTTCCCCTCCTGGTTCCAAACTGAAGCTTACCCTAACTAAGCACATGAAGACTTCCCCTAGTGGTATGGGCAGATGAGAACAATTTGTTCCAACAGTCATGAAGCAGGCACTGTGGAGTGCTCAGAGCGTGGTCTGGCATCGAAGATACGAAGGTCATCCCGCTGCATCCTGGGCTATTGCCAATTGTCTTGACTTTGTTTTGCCACTGGACTTCAATGACTCAGGAAGCGAGAGTGAGGCTGATGACTTTGTGCCTTACTTAAATCCAATTCACAAAGGAGTCAAGATATCACTCTGTGATGTCATTGGTCTTCCTCAAAATGGAAGGACAAACAACAACCACCTCGACTTCCTCCAGTGAACCTTCTGGAGAAGTAACATATTTAAACTCCAAAGCCACCTTCTCATTATTCCTCCAAAGCATTCACTCTATGGCTTTTCATAGAATGATCTGTACTTCATAGTATGCCTATGTATACTCTGTTTTTCAGTGACAGTGCTGCCTGTAATCATTTAAAGAATAGGATGAATATTGATTTTGGGGGGGGGGGGGCATGTCCTAGAACATAGTCCTATACCCAGATAGATGCTTTTACATGACTAGATTATTTTGTCCTCTTTTCCAGGTCAAATAATCCTATATTTATTTTTAAAAGTCAAAAAGTGTTAAGTACCTTCTGTGTACTGGGTGCCATCAGGGCTATAAAAGTAGAAACCAAAAGAATCTCTGCCCTTGAGCATCTTATTTCAGTCAGGAAGACAAAAATATCCGTATACAAAATTAGAAAACTGCATAAGACTTTGTCTAAACAAGTCGCAGATTTTCTCCTAACTACTCATAAGATAATAGATACAGAGTTAGAAGGAACTTCAGGGCCCACAGACCAACCCCCTCATTTTACACATTAAGAAACTGAGGAACAGAGAGGCTATGTGACTTGCCAAGGGTCACACAGTTAGTAATTGTGCAAGGTGAGATTTGAATCTAGGGCTTCTTGACTCAAATGCCCTATCCATTACACCACAGTCCCTTTCCTATTAGTCTGTTCCAGTTAAACTGGACCATATCTATTCCCTGTCCTTAAGCTGTCTTCTCTTATCTTTATGCCTTTGCTTGAACCATCCCTCATATCCTTTGAACAGAGCTGTCATTCATCTTTTGAACTCCCTCTCTTCCTTTAAGGCCCCCCTCAGATACCACCTTTTTTTTTCTGAAGCCTCCCAGGGCTTCCCCAGCTCCCAAAGTGAAAAGGATCACTTCATTCTCAACTTCTCTGGGCACTGTGCCTCTACCCCATTCTCTCTCTTTTTTTTTTGGTGAGGCAAATGGGGTTAAGTGACTTGCCCAGAGTCACACAGCTGGTGAGTGTTATGTGTCTGAGGCCAGATTTGAACTTAGATCCTCCTGACTCCAGGGCTGGTGCTCTATCCACTGTACCACCTAGCTGTCCCTACCCCATTCTTTCTTGTACCATATTTGTGTACATGTTCATACTCTCTATTGGACCTTAAGCAATGTGAGGCAGCAACTGATTCATTTTTGATCCTTATGATCCCAGCACTTAGCACAATACTTTGCATCACCTAATAAATACCTGTTGAATTTAATTAAGTTGTGGCCACTGCCTTTAAGTGCTATACAGAGAAGGCAGAGATTTTACCCAACACAATCATCGTCATAACTTTGTTACAAATGTTGGAAATTTAGCCCCACCTAGAATCCCAGCCATAAATCCATAAACCATGATTTAAGGAAACACACTGGAAAACTTCTGAAAATCACAGCTTTTTAATCTGCTTAAACCCAATGGGCAGAAGAAACAAAAAGTTTCCCCCCTTAAGAATTTTGTTAAGAAAACAGATCATTGGTATCCTTTCATTGGAGAAATGAAGTCCCCCACCCACCCCTCCACCTCCACAGTGGAAAAATTCCATAAAAGTAAAACTTGCATACATAGGCATGCCACACACACCCACACCCACACCCACACACACAAACACACACACACACACACCACAATCCCCTCATGCCCCCATACACAAGGGATCATTTCCATTTCTGAATTTTGTAAATGGAAAAAAATATATATATAAAATCCATCCAAACAGTGACAGATACAAGAAATGACAAAATCCAGTTACACTTACAATATTAATGAGCTCATAATTAAAAAAAGGGGGGGAGTTTTTCTAATTGGCACTAGGGGCTTAAAATAATAAATGGCAAAGTCTTGTTAAAAAATAAATCCAACTGGACATTATCCTGAATCACCAAAGCACGCGAAGAATTCTTGGTGTGCATGGAAAATGGAAGGGTGGTGCTCTCTCTGGGATCAACACAGAATATCTGAAATTCCCTTCACTGAATCCCTCCCTGGCCTGGCTTGCTTGTCCTTCCTTGTTCTGATCTAAAAGGAGAATCTTCTGATGAAAGGAAGTATAAGCAGTAGCAGCAGCAGCAGCAGCAGCAGCAGCAGCAGCAGAGACAGCTCTGAACTAAGTGGAAGGAAATCAGAGCTGCTGCTACCTCACCAGCTGCAGGACTGTCTGTCTTGAGCTACTCTTATTGGCTGGAGGGGCTGGTGAAAGAAACCACAGAGCAAGTGTCTGATAAGGGAGGCAGAGAGGAGCTGCTGACCCATGCTGGGATAGTCCCTTTTCTGTTTGCCATTGGTGGGGAGGGTGAAAACAAACCAAACCAAAATAACACCTGAACAAAGTAAACAAAAACATCTTGAACTAGGATGTCTCCAGGGAAAATCGCTATCTGACTCTACTTTCATATTAGCAATGAGCTTGTTGCCTCAGAGATGTCACACAGAACTAGGACCGGTGGGGAAAAATCTTCATGTCATTGGGAATGATGCTTACTGGTTACTCTCTGGGCCTGTGCAAAGCCACTGGGCCTACATAGAGGAGAATATTTTCAAGTAGTGGAAAGAACACTGGATTTAAAGGAGGAGGAAATGAGTTTTCTCTTTCCTACAGTTTATTAGCTGTATGCCCTTGGGCATGGCATTTCCCATTTCCAGGCCTCAGTTTCTTCCTCTGTAAAATGAGGGAGGTTGAAGTAGGTGGTCCCTAAGGCTTCTTCCAGATCTAAACCCTATAAGATGCCCAACCACTCACCACCACTGTGTCATTACAAAGGGCTGAGGTGCCAATAGAAAGGTGGGGTGGGTTCAGAGGCTAGGTGTCCTTAGCTAAGAGGTGTTGTCCTTTGGTTAGGACTGAGGCACGTTGGTGGGAGGTTAAGAGTGACGGGGAAAATGGGAGGAAAACTTATTTTTGCAGCTGTTGGCTATGCTGCACCAGTGGTGAACAGACTTCAATCTCTTGGGGACTGTGGTTCTTGGCAGCCTGAAACCCACTTTTAAAAAGGGAGAGAGAGAGAAACAGGGGTCTTGAGCCCTATACAATGTAAGTTCAATTGGTACCTTAATATAGTTCAGCCAAGTGCATATTGCCAAAGTGTGATGTTATGGATGGGCATAGGGAAAGGTCTGACAGCAAAAGCCACACGGTACCCCTGGGCAAGAAACCAAATGCTTTCTCTTTCCAAAAGGGCTTTCCTCACTCTCCACTTACTTCAGATTGATGCCCAGGAGAAGTGAGCCAGGTAACTGGGCGAAAGATAATGAGAACCTGTCACTCCTAGACTCTCTTGTTACTTCCCAATGAAACTCTGCAGGCTGTTGGAACCCAAATCACAACAACCCTTGAGCCTTCCTGATTGCTTCTTAGGAAATTGTTTCTACCCCTACCCCCTACCCCCCAGGGTAGGGAGCACCATGATTCTTGGCATTGGCAGTGGACTTTCTTCCTAAAAATACTCGGTATTGTCTTTTCGAAAACAAAAGAAGATAATGTGTAAGCTGGAATTCCCCCGAGATGGGAGTATGGTGTGGGAAGAGAAACCTTGGTGTAACAACTATCCACTCTGTAACTTCAACCAACAAAACTGCATATCAACTCGGATAGAGGGAAAAAGGAAATATATTTGTTAGAGTGATGAGTCTGGGATCCTGCATTGCTGTCTCTGGCAAAATGAGTCGGAGTCACAGGGTTACTGCATCTTTCCAAGTTGAATCTTCTTCCAGGCCTCAGATGCTGTGAAAATGCAGGAGTCCAGGATTCCGGCCACCGTGAAAGTGCCTCCAATGATGGCACAGATCTGAAACAAGAGCCACATAGAAGTTAAAGCTGGGAAAGGACCTCAGAAAGCATCTGGCCCAAGTCTGGCCCCCTTTATTGCACAGGTGAGAAAAGAGAAGCCTGGAGAGAAGTCAGAGCATCAGAGATGCAGAACTGGAAGGGATCTTAGAGATCTAGTTTAATTTCCTCGTTTTATAGATGGGTCAACTGAGGCTCAGAGAGGATACAAAGCTTGTTCTGTTTCTTGCACTATGCTGTGCTGTGATCTGCCCAAGTTACATAGATAATAAGTAATAATGGAGTAGAGACTTGAACTTGGGGTTTCTGATGCCCAGCGCTCTTTCCATTAAATAATTCTGCCTGGAAATGAACAATGATGGATCAGGTCATTTCCTTACGGAGTCAAGTTTAAGTTTTTGTTGTTGTTGTGTTCGGTGATGGTGCTGCCTGTAAGCACTTAGGGGATAGAGTAATGTATCCAAGGTGATACATTTCAGTGGAAATGGACATAGATCTTGTCTGAAGTGGAAACCCCTAAGGCACAATTAAGAGAAGTTTTTCAGATAAGATTGTTCTGCCCTTTAGACCTACCTTTGTTTTGTGAACCAGATCTCTTTAAAATTTACTGTAGTTTGGAATGGTGGTGACTCCTGGCATCTCAATGCCCATATGCCTTTTGGAAATTTGATCACCACATTTGCCACCATTATCATTGAGCCAAGTGCTGAGGGAAGGAAACACTGGGATTTTGGCAAAATCAAAGAAGTCCTTCACTTCTTGGCTTGCATTCCAACATTAGAGGGTGGTAGGAATATCAGTTTGCTACCATGCAATGGCTGTGAAAGGAAAGTCCACAAAGCAAGGTACAACAATATACTAGACAATTGTTGCTTAAATCTATGAAAGGATACAAAATGATAAGAAGACCAGGAGAACAGATATAGTATCAAGAGAATTTACAGTTCAAAACATTAACTTGCTCTTGACATGACCAGCCTTCCTTTTCTTCTCCCAGTCATACATTTGTCTGATGATATGATATCCTTCATGCCTGTAGTTCATGACTGGTAATGCTCTGCAGTCTATTCACACCCAACACTGCCCTTTGGATACCTGGTACCTGCAGCTCAAGTGACAGACACAGAGTCTAGAACTTCATTAGAAGGAGGACAGGCATCAAAGTGATGCCAGATCACAAGATCCTGAAGCAATACTGGTTTAGGCTTCCATGCCATTTCTTTCACACTTCAATAGATCTGAGATCTCATCAATGCAGGTATTTGCTCCACTAGTACAGAACAGAGCCCATCCATGACTTGCCATCTTGTGCAATGCTTGTCCACATTCTCCTACAGATCTTCCGCAGAGAATGCATGCCATGTGCTAGAGGTATTCTTCTAAGCCAGGGGTTCTAGGTGTCATGGACCCCTTTGGCAATCTGGAGAAGCCAATGGACTGATTCGCAGAATGAAGTTTTTAAATGTGTAAAATACAACACACAGGATTACCAAGGAAACTAATTATATTGAATTACAGATATCAAAATATTGAAAAAACAAGTTCATGGCCACCAGTTCTGCTCTATAGGTGGACTTCAAAAAAACCTAGAAAGACTTGTATGAACTGATGCTGAGTGGAGTGAACAGAACCAGGAAAACATTCTATACAGTAACTGCAACATTATGCAAATGACCAACTTTGATAGACTTAGCTTGTCTCAGCAATGCAATGATCTAAGACAACTCCAAGAAACTCATGATGGAAAATGCAATCCACATCCAGAGAAAGAACTATGGAGTCTGAATGCAAATTGAAGCATACTATTTTTCTTTCTTTTCTTTCTTTTTTCTTTCTTGTGGTTTTTTCCCTTTGGTTCTAATTCTTCTTTACAACATGACTAATGTGGAAATATGTTTAATATGATTATACATATATGGCCTATATCAAATTGCACACTATCTTGGGGAGGGTGAAGGGGAAGAAAATTTAAAACTCAAAATCTTGTAAAAGTGAATGTTGAAAATAAAGACTAAATAAATAAATATTTTTTTAAAAATAACCTCTGTTCTAAGCCTTCCTGCATTTCATGATGGGGAGCCATCCATCAACACTATAACTCTTGCTACATGAGTAGTTGACCTCTTTACCACTCATACATTTCCTTAATAATATGTATCTTAATAATATGTATGCTTCATGACTAGGTGCTCATGAGAGATATACTGCAGCCTACCTGTACCCACTACACATCTCTCCATTGCTCTCTGGGTTGGGTGAAGCTGTGATTCTTTAGAAATTATGGTGTTTGGAAGTTATAAACACATGGCATTGGCAAAACATTTAAGTTAAGAAAGATGGATATTTGTACTGTGGAGCATCTTGGGATCACTGAAAGCATAACAAAGTTCCTCAAATACAATCCAGGCTGTTCTCTTCCTCCCATTCAATTATTGCCTCAATTCATTTTGTACTTGTAGTAAGTAAATTTACTTGTCCTAAGTAAATATTCTTACGTACCAACTCAGTGGACTGGTTATCCAGCTACATGTTTTAGTCTAGACAAAATTCATTTTTCATTCATTTAGTTTTTCCCACATCCAAACTCAAAAGAGATAACTCTAATCAGGAATCTCACTGAGAGGTCCTCTGATGTTCTAATGATGCAATTAGCACAATATCCAAACTCAAATTTTTTCCTGCATCCAATCAGCACAACCTCATCTGCAATCAGGAACATATGGAGGGCTCATCATCTATAGGGAATTTCCATCTGAGCTCTGCAAAAGAAATCCTCTATTAACAGTGATGGATACCATTGACAAGAATATGCTACCCTGTCTCTCTACCTCCTCCCTGTTTAAAGTTTACAAACGTCCTCCCTCATAAAACCTTGTGAAATGGACAGCAGAACCACTGCCATCCCATTTTACAGATTAGAAAAATGAGATTCAGAGTTAAGGGATTTGTCCATAGTCATATAGTTAATAAGCAGCTGAGCTGGGACTTAAAACTGAAATCTTTCCACTCCAAATCCTGCGCATTTTTCAACTGATACACATTTCTGTTTCTAAAAGTTCATCTTTTCTATTTCTCAGAAGACTAGGCTAAACCAATGAAATAGAAGAGCTTCCTAACACACATAATTGAGACTTGGAATTGGCTGAATGACCAGACCCAAAGTATAGCCATTAAGGGATCAAAGTCAACCCGGCAGGAGGTCTCTAAGGAAGCACCCCAAGGATGCCTTTAGCCCTGTGCTATCTGACATTGTTACTGAATGACATGGATGGAGATGTAGATAGCATACACAGAAAATCTGCAGATAATATAAAAAAGGGAAGGGATAGCTAATATGTTGAATGACAAAGGCAAGATGCAAAAAGATCTTGAAACACGCCAATCTAATAGGATGAAATTTAATGTGTATGAATGTAGAGTCCTACACTTGGATTAAAAAAATTCAACTATAATAATACAGGATGGAGGATGAGTCACTAGATAGCAATTTGTTTGAAAAAAGACCTGGGAGGGGGGGTGTCCTTAGGGTATTAGGGTTTGATGAAGCTATCAAAAAAGTTAACACCTTCTTTGTTCTTGTTGTTCAGTAGTTTTTCAGTCATGTCCGACTGCCATCTGAGGTTTTCTTGGCAAAGATAGTAGAGTGATTTGCCATTTCCTTCTCTAGCTTATTTTATGGATGAGGAAACTGAGGCAAACAGGGTAAAGTCATTTGACCAGGGTCACACAACTAAACACATATCTGAGGCCAGATTTGAATGTAGGAAGGGGAATCTTCCTGACTCCCGGTCCAGCCCTCTATCCACTGTGCCAACTAGCTGCTACAAGTTGATCTTGGGTTGCCTTAATAGATAATTACTTAGTATCACATCAAGACTACCACATTTTAGGAAACAAAGTAGAAAGGATCCAAAAGAAGGGAAATCAGGATGGTGAAAGGACTGGAGACCACTCCACATGAGGAGTAGCTGAAGAAACTGGGAATGTTTAGCACAGAGAAGAGACTTGGAACAGGGGTATGACAGCTATCTTCAGGTATTTGAAGGGCTGTCAAGATGAGATTAGATTTGTTTTGTTTGACTGGGGAAAAGTAGGAGCAGTGGGGTAGGAGTTACAGAGAGCCAGATTAAGGATTGGGGTAAAAAAAAAACTTTCTAACTATTAGAGTTTTCCAAAAGTGGGATAGGCTGCCTTGACAGATAATGAGTTCTCTATCACTGGGGGTCTTCGAGTAACATCTGTAAAAAAGCTTATTGAGAATGTTGTAGGGTAGTTCAGGTTCAAACTAGACAAGATAACCTTTGACCTTCTGAAAATTAGATTTTTTTTTTTGGGTGATTCTGACCTCTGAAGTAAATGCTTTATCCAATTAGCACATCAGCACTAGGGTATTTATAAATGACAGAATCTCTGGACTTTCTCCACTATGCTACAATAGCTTTCTCTCCTTGGAAGTTCACTCTGCCTCTGCTGCCCTTTTGAAGCTCTGATTGGTCATTTCTTCTCAGAAAATTTTTTTTGGGAGGCATTCAGGGTTAAGTGACTTGCCTAGGGTCACACAGCTAGTAAGTGTATAAGGCTGGATTTGAACTCAGATCCTTCTGACTCCAGGGGCAGTGCTCTATCCACTGTGTCTCCTAGCTACCTCCCAGAATCTTCATTTTAAGGAAAGTATTCAGGTCAGTCACATCTCTATCCCTCTCCAGGATACACTTCTGACTCTCTAGATTTTTTCCATCATGTCCTATTATAGGTACTTCCTACTCCCTCCCAATTCTATGCCCCTCCTCCTGCTTTTCAGCTATCTTTTTATGTGTTGTTTTCCCCGTTAGAATGTAAGCTCCTTGAAGTCAAAGACTGTCTTTTTTGCTTGAATTTATATTCCCTGTGCATAGCCAAGTGCTTGGCACATTCTAAGTATTTCAAAAATGCTTGTTGATATGGCAGGACCACAGAAGGGGAAAAGTGGGGTCGATCCTGTGACTCCCTTGAGAACTCTCA